GTTGTACATTTCCATAGGAACACATTTCTCATCCTAAAATTTCCCTTTTAAATATATATGATCCTGAAATGTATTTTCTATGCAATGTCCATTGCATTTATTCTGTTTATTCAAGTGTTTAAATAAAGATCTGTTGCCTTGGAGTCATGAAGAAGTTTGATATCTTTGAAGCAGACGTTTCTTCCAGGAGTTGTTCTACATCTGGGTCATAGCTGGAGCAGTCCTCCTTTAGAGAGCAAGGAAAAAGGATTGAAGCGGAAGAAATGGAATCTTATAAACACATGTTCTGACTTAGCGAAAATTGACCTGACATGACTGATCAGCTGCTTCCACTGAATGCAGCATTAGACTCACATGTTTATCTCAGCTTCTGTATTTGGCATGGCTTCAGTTAGAAGGAGAGTCGTAGTTTGATCCCAGCACCAAATGTTTCCTGCCTGGGTTACAGTCCATAGTTTCCTCCTTAAAATCTGTTTTAGGAAGTGAACTGCATCAGATACTGGAACTGCGCAGATTTTCTTAAAGAAGCCTCTGATTTTGAGGTTTATAAGTTAGTTAAATCACTGAGTGGCTTAGCACTGAAACACATTAATAACTGGTTGCCAGAGTGGTACACTCACACCTCTCAGGCCTTATGGTTCGAGTCTTCTCTGTATACCCAGCACCAAATATGGAGAAGCAGCTTTTAGTTCCACTGATCTGAAACAAACAACCTGAAAACTGTAAAAGTGCTAACATTTTAAATTGAGATTTAAAACCTATTTATTTCGCCTTTTTCTGTGCTAATTAAACTTTTAACTGAAAAATCATTATATGTCTGTTGTCCAGCTTTTCTTTAGCTGCCTGTTTTGGAGAGCAGAGCAAAGCATTTGGCTCCACCAGTGTTCCACATTAACATCATGGCCTTTGACTTAACACAACAACCTCCAAAACTTTTAACGAGCATCTAGCATGTTTAATAATCTCTGAAAGTTCATGAATTCACAAGCAGCAAACAGAAGAATTTATTCTTATTTGTACAATTTTTGTCCATTTTGTCTGATGGTATGCTGACATAAAAGTGTGGAAACACAGGATCTCAGAAAGGTTTTCCAATGGGGGTTTTTGAATTTCTGTGCCTGGATGAAGGTGGATTGACACACATGGGCACCAATAGAGAAAACATTAAGTGTTGTTATGATCAAACAAAGAAGAAAAGAGCAGCACCCAGAGGACAGGTGGAGACCAGGGGCTTGATTTCTTCTGAGCTGAGAGCAGCTTTCCTGAGTCAACTAATTCGCTTAGTGATGTTTAGGATTTTCAGAACAGCTGATATTAACATGGAAACTCAACTCTGCCTTGATCCGATTGTCTCTAGTTGTAGCTCCTGTTCAGGGTGAGCAGGAGCATGATGAAAAGCCATCATCAATAGAGCACAGAAAGCATGATCCACCATAGCAAACGGAGGAAATAAGACGCCACCTAGTGCACATTTCTCACCAGTTAGGATGGCATGTGTGTACAAAACCTGAACAATTCAATAATTGGATGGAAAAAAAATCTTTTTTTTCTTTCTCAGTTTTAAGTCAAACCACCAGCAGGTTTGGACACTTCCCTCTACAGACAGAAAAAGCAGCCTATGTGTTCTTTTAGGTAGAAATTAAACACAGCTGGAAAATGGAAACATTAGTTTAAAGGACCACCATAAACAGAGGAGGCTAAACAGAAACATAACATTACTTTTTACAAACTATAAACCATACCTGAAAATCTAAAGGAATGTTTCTCATGTTACTGCACAAGAAACATAGCAGCTTAATTTAAAACAAAAAGTTGTTTCAAACTTAAGTTACAAACTGCTCAAGTACAGAAGTTTATTTCTAGATCACATCTCAGTGAGAAGAAAATTCAAAAGGTTGTAAATCAAATAAAACATAAGATATGAAAAAACTCAGAGGAAAGTACATGCAGTGATATGATACATCCAACTAAGCTGCACCCCGTCTGCAACGACACTGCCAGGGAGGGGGGGTGCATCACAGAGACATGAGTGCTTAGTATGAATAATCATAATTATTAAAAATAGTATAATTTTATCATACTAATATAGTTTAATAAGTGTAAATTGCCCTAGTTTCAAACACTTTAAACTTTTTTAGCAAAAACATCTTTAAAAACAATACAGCAAAGAGGGAATGAAGCTAACTGGCTAACATGTGCTCCACTACTATAAATAGTTAAAGCAGGATAAATGT